CTGCCATTTTAATTCTACATAATAGGGGGATTGTGTAATTGTATTCCGCTGCGTGGTTGTGTTATTGGTTCAATCCCCAACAATTTCATCTGTATTTGGTATACTAATGCCCGTGGCCTCATATGCAGCCCTGTATTCTTGAAAATTTCACGTTTTTTAAGAATGGCTCCCATTGGTTTCCAGTTATTGCAAGTTTTTCATGTGAACAAGATGCTTCAGAGTCTATTTAGCCTCCTTCCGCTTTCTCTGACTCCAAACAGAATCCGGCTACAGCATGTTCCATATTAGTTTAAACTCTACTTTTTGGTTCCATGTATCGAAACATGAGTCAAGATCCTAATAACGACATTAGACGACTTTTTTGATAATATTTATTTTGGGGCATGCGGAAATGGAAGTAGGACTGATAATGTGATAAGAGGAATAGTTGGATTATATGTTATTACTGCAAAATTGTTAAAATTTCAGAGAAAACCAGTCATTTATTCTTTTTCCCGTCTTTTATTACATTGCATTTTTCTCTCTCCTATTTTCAACTATAAAATTTTCCATAAAATAATATTACTCGTAAATCGAAAACTTTTCCTTTTTTTTCAATCAATCATTTTTCAAAAAAACACTATTCCACCCATTAATTTTTCCACAAAATGGGGGCTTAATTTGTTAACTTAAGACTAAGAAGCGAAGTCATTTCCTCTGGTAACCCCGAAGATTTATGCTTAATAGATTAGAGAACGCAGTATGGGGAAAATGATTGGTGAATGCTTATGTATGGGATGCTGAGGCATTGATTAGAGTAGGATGCTCCTTTTGGAGGCGGGTTAGTTCTATTGGCCATGTTTCTTATAACAGATACAGACTCGGCAGTGGAATCGCTATATCAATCTATCTTCATTCCTCCTCTCTTGTGAAGCTTGACTAGTGATCTTTATCTTGAAGTCATGGCTGTAGAGTGACAACACGAGTTCTAATATTCGAGTGCCACTAAATTTTTATCACAAACATAAAAAAATTGCTTTCTAGAACTTGAATTTTGTTTGCATAACTTCATAAAATAATAAGAGTTTAAACCATAATTAGATAATTTATATCAAATAAAAAAGAAAAAAAAAGAACTTAAAGTTTCTCTAAACCAATAATTAAAGAAATCTTGAATAAACCAAAATACACTTGGTGGGTCTCTTTTCACTTGCCAGCCCTTTCATGCCTCGATTGCCACAAACCATTAATTTCCTAAAAGGGCAATAAGGAGGGATGTGATATAAAATCTCAATAAATATATTACAAGGGTTAATATTTTGTACATAATTTAAGGAACTTTATACATATATAGGGAGACACAAAAATCAATATCTAACATAGGCAGTATGAAATTTTTATGCGTAGCGCTACTATATTTTGGTCCAAATGTTAGAACATACATAATGGATCCCATAATTAATGTTCTAAAAGCATAAATTACGCTTATAAACCCATAAAAACACATACACTTACTTGTATCATCAATGTTCTTAAAACATAAAGTACGCATATAAAACCATAAAAACACTTTATTTTGCAAAAGTGATAAAAGAATTATTGAAATGTATTTGAGACTTTAACCCTTGACCCACGTGTTAATGAATGAATATAGTATATTCGTGTTTGCATTTCAAAGAGAAGTGAATGTACTTGAAAATAGAATATATGATACCTATTTATAGACACAATTATGCTTTGAGATCCTAATCCAATGCAACTTCAAATTTTAAAAGTGATAAATGTTATCATTATTTCAACCATATTTCTATTAATGAGATAAGATAATAAATTTAAAATAAAAGATAAAAGTATCTTAATATTAACCCATTCATTTAATATTTCAGTTTATTTAAAAGAGATAAAATTAAAACATTATGTCATTTATCATTAAAATTATAAAAGATAGAGATACAATCAAAATATTATATAAACCATTCAAAATTTCAATTTAATTAAAAGAAATAAAATTAAAACAATATTTCATTTATCTTTAAAATTAAATAAGATTTTTAATAACTTGGACTTAAGTCCAAAAAGAAAAATAAAACAAAAAGTGTGGGTTATGATTCCACCTAACGGACTTTCATGTGATTGACCAATCTAAAAATAGTGGAAATTACATAAAACTTAGTTTTAAAGATCCCATTTAATAAATCATATGCTAGGTTTACTATTTAAAAAATAAGATATTTTATTAATTAATACATTATTATTAAATAAATATATTGATAAATTAAATTAATTTATAAACTAACCCTACCTCTATACCCAAACCGTTCTCTCATCTCTCGCGCCACTCTCCTCTTTCTCATCGCCTTCATGATTGTTGTTGCCACCGCTATGACTAACACCAACATCACCACACCTTACAAACACTACCCACATGAAACTAGTCTCTATTATCTTTCTATTCCACTGGAAGCCGTCGCTAGGAGCCATTGCCATAAATCGCCGCCAACAAGATTGTTGCACATGTAAGACATTAAACCCTAATGCCAAGATCTTTAGAATTCATGATTTTCACATATGAATTTAATTGATCAAGAAACATACATTGATCCATGGCAATAATTGAGAATTTTAGATCTGCAAAATAATAAACTGTTAAATTAAAGAAATCGTTCTCTCACTTTTCCTCTCTTTTATTGAATGAATTAATTGATGGGTTTCATTCACATTTATAGGCAGAGAGAGGCAGTCTCCTTTTGTGCCATAAAACTCTCAACTTTCCATCAAAGTAGACAATTATAAAACTACCATTTCTCAATTGGGCCAATAGGATTTTAGTAATATTAATCACATTTAATTAATTCTTTAATATTACATGGGCCACAAATAATTGGTTTTACAGCACAATCTGTTGTTTGCTGCTGCGTGATGTTGTGGGTCTACTACGCGTTCCTCCTTGCTTTGTCCCAAATCTTTTTTTTTCTGATTTTGGTGGCCGAAGGGTTTTTGTGTTGTTTGATTATGGTGTGATGTGGGTGCAGTGTTGTACTGTGTTAAGTGCGATGGGTTCGAGGTGGTTGTGGTGTTCGACGGTGGTTTTAGGGGTCATAGTGGTTTAAGTGGAGTTTGGATGGTGGTGGTGGTGCTCGTGGTCCTGGTGTTTGGGTGACGATGGCTTTGTTGGCGGAGGTTGTTGGATCCAGTGGTGGCGGAGGGTATGTTGGTTGCGATGGTGGTGGTCTTAAAATAATTTATGACATGAAAATTTTGATTTGTGATCGAAAAATAATATGTGACTAACTAAATCGTTAATTTGTAACCAAATCATATAGATTTGTGACCTTAATATATTTAATTGATAAAATAATTAATTAAATCATAAATTAATTTTAACAAAAATTTATTTTTGAAATTTGAAACTTGTTTTCTGGATTTTGAAATGTGTGATATTTAAACCCTTATGAATTTTTTCCCTAAAAATATTAACCATGTCTTTGTATAATGGGCCAAACATAACCTAATAAAATTACGCCCACGAGTATGGGTATGACATGCAACTTCTTTGGTACGACTATTTTGTGTGTAAATGTTCCATAGTTAAGTTTAAGAAATGCCCACATCAGATGGGCCCACATATTTTCAAATTCTGAATATTTGAAGAAGCCAAAACATAAAAATCTGCTGAGTGGAAGGCTGATAATGGAAGACAAGACAAGGGGTCAAGGGAAAAATCGTAGAAAAGAACTCCAGAAACATGTATTAATGTTCTTGTAACATAACTAAATATTGTAGCTTCACTAGAACATTTATAATTATAGCATTGTACCTAAATATTGTAGCTTTACTAGCAGCGTTGTACATATAATTATAAATTTAAATTCTTTACATTGTACAGCAACTTTGTTTCACGAGTTATGTTTAGCTTAGTAATTTTTGCTCTTTTGCCCAACAGACGAAGAGATCTGAAACAGATATCAGGGAGTTGAAACATTCATTGCTTCTCTTTGAGGCTTACTGATGAATATTCTTCCAATGCTCATGCACGCAAACGGTTGCCTTCACCTGAGCTACTTCCCTTGCTCTCTAACAACTCATACTACCACTTCGTATTGTCAACCGACAACATTCTGGCTGCTGCAGTTGTCGTCACATCTGCTGTCCAGTAATCTATAAAGCCTGAAAAGATTGTTTTCCATGTCATAATTAGCAAGAGAAATTATGCAGGCATGCATTCGTGATTCGCCCTGAATCCTGTCTCTCCCGCTATAGAAGTAAAAGGCATTCATCAGTTTGATTGGTTATCAAAAGAGAATATTCCAGTTCTTGAAGCTGTGGAGAACCACAATGGGATACGGAATTACTACCATGGAAATTGTTCACCTCGTTTCCGGTTGGGGCCATGCAAGCAATAGATACTAGACTCACATGCACACACGCAAGCCTGGTCCAACACGTTTGAACACGGAAGCGGTCTAGAACGGTAAGAGAAAGGGCGTGGGAGCGGCTCAAAGGCCTGGTACGATGACATTCGAAATTCGGCAAGACATTTGTAAAACGATTGTTCAATAATTACCATTTGTGAGGGATGAATATGTATGTAAACTCGACTATATAGCAAGAAAGCTATCTGCAATGTGTTGTTTGCATTTTCTCTAGCATTGAGTTTTGTATTCAAAATTACATTAGCCTTACAATGGTAAAACTGGGAAGTATTTATAGTACTACAAAGTAAATTGTAGTCCTTGGTAGGAGTATACTTGGCCTCATCTCTTTGGTCCATACATTTAATCTTAGGCATCACTTTTGACTTACTAGCCCACTTTACATTTATTAATTGACAAAATCGTCACTTTATTTGACAAGACTTGACACTTAAACTCTATAATAGATGTCGTATCAATCATTCAAAGAAGATACTGGTGTAAAAATGGATCTCTTGGAAAAAGTGATAGTGAAAGAGTTTCGAAAGTCTCAACTTCGGCGCATGGGCCTTGGAGTGAACCACCTTGGCCAATGTGCTTTGGACTTCAAGATGCTGAGTCTCAGTTGGGATGTTAGTTTTGGCTGCATTAAATAGGTTTAAGGGCCTCAGCCACCATGTTACGTGTTTCAACGTAGGTGGGCTGGACCAAAGGCTATAGTAGGTCGGCTACGTGGACCCACGTGCACGTGTGATGAGACGTAACAGAAATCATATCATTGGGGCCAATCTTAGTGACGCTTCCACCCCTCAAAAATTTGCCTCAAAACTGCAAGCTAGAAGTCCAAAGTACATCTCATTGCCCAATCATCTCTACATATCTCTAGGAGGTAATCGATAGTCATTGGACGAAGGTTTCCTGCAAGGCGTTTCATGCTTTCATTGCTTTGGAAAATGTATGAAAAATTAAAAATTGATTTTGATGGTTGGGAACTTGTATATGTTATGCTCATGTCCAACTTGTAATTGCTGATTCTGTCTGATAAACTGCAAAATATTTTTGTCCCCAGTGTTTCATTTGATTATATGTCATACAATCCCGCTACCCAGCCAGGGATATAAACAGGGTTGGGAACAGGCAATAAAAAGTTGGTGTGGTGGCCCACAATTATTCATAATTCATAAAATAAAATAAAAACCAACAACATTAGCCAAAATAAAATAAAAGAAGAGTACTACAGGACCGATTTCTCATTTCCTCCCAAACCTTGAAGAGTACTCTTGCCAGCACGCCATCGCCAATCGGAGCACCCATCACCGGTTGGAGAGCCGGTAGTCACCTGACGAAGAAGAGGGGAAAAGTGGAAAAAAAGGAACTTAATTTTCTCCTATTAATGATTTTGTAAAGAAATTAATAAGGTATTTTGAGAATTTTGAGACACCCAAGAGATCTTAATTTCTTTTCCTTTCAAGTTCTCCAAAGACAGGTAAGATCTTGTGATTCTTTATTAGCCACCTCCATATGATCATATTTATTCATTAGGCTTCGCAGAAATTTTTCAATAACCTTTTAGGTTTTCAAAATTTCTCTACTTGATGCCATAGAATTTGAAATGGAACTCTAGTTTACTGAATCTCAGTTGCTTGATATATTTGGAAAGGTGAATCGTGTCTTTTTGTGTCTTATTCTTTAGGAGATTTGTATGTGCTTTAGATAATTGATTTTCATTTTCTGGTTGTTTGTATTCCTTCAACAATATTTCATAAATAATGAGATTCAAGACACAATTCATTAGATTAATTTAATAATAAAGATTTCGCCATTAAAACGAGTCACGAGAGAAATGAGATTATTGTTTGACATTATTTATCTTTTCTTGGCTCTGATAGTAGTTAGTAGAAAAGAAGGCTTGGTAGATATCTTATTATTATTACTATTATTATTATAAATTGCCTTTGCAAAATAATAAAGATTTTGGTAAATCAATGTGCATGTTCTATCTTTAAGAAGTCTCCTCCAATTACTAAGTCAAGTATTGGAATTCTATAAAACATTTGACTAAACAAGTACATGATTATTCTAGGAAATTTAATAGTCAAAATTTGGTTTATTATTCCAACATATATATTATGCTTGTTTTGTTTTGGATTCACTCCAAAGCCTAGCAAAAATTCATATTTGTAATGTAGCTATTTTAATTAATCTAGACTTGCCAAGGAGTCCCAGTCCCTTTTGAGTGTGGTGGAAAAAACATTCACAAAACAAGAGCCAAGAGCTTGGGTTTTGGTGAAAAGAAACAAAGGGCATCTGTTATGGTTGATGTGTGTCGGAAGTGTTGTGCTGTGATTTTGTATAATTCCTTTTGAAAAAGTACTCTTCATTAGCTTATCTAGTTGGGTATTTGTAGTTTCTGGATTTCTTGAATTGATGAGATGACTGACTTCACACAGGTTATATGTTTTTTATTCCCATCGTAGAATGCTCGGAAGGAACTCCGGAATCTGTCATAGTTGTAGAGCTAAGGATCATTTGTTTGCCGAATGCAAAAAGAAACGCCCTTGCCCACGATGTAAGTATGGATTTGAAAAATGTTTTGTGGTAAAGAAGGAAAATCACAATAAGGGGAAACTAGTCCTTTGCTACAGCCGGAATTGTGGATTTTGGGAATGGGTTGTGAAAGAAGACTCAAGCGGTCAATGTAGTCGTGATAGCGCGACATTCCCTAACCCCGTGATGAATGACACTAATGAAGAAATGTCCCGCATGTTCAAATATTGGGTAAGGATAAGTGACGAAGAAGAGTTTCAGATTTTGGTTAACGTGAGCATCAAGAAGGAGAAAATTGTTGCAAATGTGGACGCTAAAGGGAAGCGGCCGACTTGACTTGAAGATACTTATCGAAGTGGCTAGCCTAATTTTCTCAATTAAAACTGAATCAGCTTGTCCTTATTATTTGTGAAGGTTGAAAGTCTTGTATGTGATGAATTAAGTAAAGTAGTTGAGCTTTGTGGTGCGAGGTTGTATATCATGACATCTTGGTATCAAAACAAGCATCTTTTGTAGGCAAACATTTGTACTCTCGCGACTTACTTACAGTTTTTGTATGGTAATTAATTTATTTAATACCTTTCCATTCAAATTGTTTATGTATTCCAAGTTCACAAGCTTAAATGAAGGCAGACATTGGTTGCCTATAATATACGAAGCCCAGGTTCCCTATAATTTGGTGATGCGAACCCGTAGCTATTGGCATCTCACTTGGACATGCCGAACATTGAGCTTGCAAACAATTACTTGAAATCACACCCGGATATGTTTGAACGCCACAAGATGCTAGATCTTGATAAGTCCAGTATTTTGAAGCATCACGCCTCGAGAGAGAAAATTCTCAATTTCCATTCATCATAAAACTTGGTTATAATTTAAGAATAAAATCCTATTTATACTAAATACCTAAAAATAATTAAAAAGGAATTAAAATCCCTAACACCTATTTTTAATTAAGGTAAAACACGTCCCAAAGATATTAAAATTATTAGAGTCCCACTTAAACAAGGGGACAAATATTAAGGGATCACAAAGTTGTCTGCCATCAAGGAATCCTATCACTGTTGGAAATTGCCGAGATTGTGGAAAATTCTGCCCGTTAGTGAGTGTTGCGACGGCATTGCTTGGATGGATGCGGTCGCATAGCATTATCAATTTCCTCCCGCCAGTTTTCGGTATAGGTTCTCGCGACCGCAAGGCTTGTGAAGGTATGCGGTCGCATAGGCTCTGAATTGCTGTCCCGATCTTTAATGTTTGACCCAATTAATTCTAGGTTGTCCAGCTTGGTTCTTTGGTTGCCCACAGTTTAACAAATGATATAAAAAACTCTATTTCATCCAATTATCCCAAAGTGTTGAAGAATTTCAAGAACTACAGGCCAAAGGACACCCCAGCTGGTCTGCAGGAAGTTCTTATTTCATTTAAATAAGTAGAATAATTTAAAAGGCCACTAGCTTCTTATAATGATGTAAAGAAACAAATATTATTGCTTAAACAAAATTAGTTATTCATTTAATGCAAAGGGTGAAACTAAACAACAGTCAAACATTGTTATGGCAGCTACATCGGCTCCATGAAAGTATGGCAAAATGAGTTTACAAATAACAACTTTTTTTCTAATGGCTACCAAATCATTAAACTTGCAGAAGAATATTCTCAATTATCACAGAAAGCAGAAAGACTTAACAATTCAGCTATTAGATAAGTTGCTCAAAATGGTATGAACAAAACAAAAGAAATTTCCATTGAATTATCACAACAATTATTTGATACTAATACACTATGAGTAGTAATTACCCAACATTTCAAAAAAATTCCGCCAACTTAAAACCTGTGAAGTTGCCAAAATAGGCAAAGTAGTAATTGCCTTAATACTAGGAAATGCCAAAATACATCTTCATTCGAGTACTGTGAATTGGAAGTCTTGATTTCAAAAAAATTCCAATCGCGCAAACATAGCCCCCTTGCTATAGGCTGCCACTGTGATCCAATAAATTTTGATAGTAGTTCGCCGATGGTTGACCTACAATAGAATACCATAACAAATAGTTAATCATGTGTTCACAACAAAATGAATTTTAAAACCGTCTACAACATTGGTTTATACATTGTGAATTTTGCCTGATACTAGCAGCGAATGGAGAGACCAAATTTCCAAAGGGTACACATTGGGAAAGGGAGAACGGTGTAGACATGGACAGTTGTGACAAAGATAATGGTGTCAACGTGTCACTGGGCAAGTACGACGTCGGGGTTGGCATGGAATATTGTTGAGGCAACTGAAAGTTCATTGCGTCATCTACCATATTCGTATTGCTACTTCTTGGTGGCATAGTAGTGGATGATGTCCCGCTAGACTGCATTTACAAGATATAAATTTAAACAATTGCAAATATAAATCTCAGTTTTCGAGCATACCTTTGCTTTCTTTGATGTTATCTCCAATGGGCTTCTTTTTCTAAGCTTCCTTGGCGCACCCTTTAGTCGAGCTACTTGTGGATCACATATGCTTCCGCTCGCTAACTTTGACACGTCCGTACAATCATTGGACACCTGCGTGGTACGCGACGGTATGAGATTACTACTACCACCAGATCTTGTGGTCATCATATCTTCACATTGCAATTTTATCCACTCCATTATAGCACGTGACAGCATTTCATCATCTGCAGCAAGGTCTGCCACCTGTGCAAATCCCTTAGACATCTCTTCGTATCTTAATTGTGCAGGAGTAGTCTCTAACCCTGCATAGTTTATTGGAACTCTCGTGTATGCTCTACGAACGTCCCTCATCCATCTCCGCAAAATATACTGATCCGGAATACACGTGACATCGTTCTAGTCTTGAACCGCTATTGCATGCTTACAAAGTATTCCCCTAAACTCAAATAAGTGGCAGCTACAAACAACTTCGCAATTATTTCTCACAAATGAGACGACTCAAGTTTTTCTCTTGCGACGACCATCATACATAATAGTCTCCTGTACATTATACGTTGTCTCAGAAGATCCTTCTGACGTAGATATGACATTACAGTAGACCTTACCTGTGAACTCTTTTTAAACTTCCCGACATTTCGATATGGTGTAAACTGACCGAAACTGTTCTTCCATTTCAAACTGTGTTGCACACGGTATCATTTGAGAGAACGACTTGAAATCAGCTTGGAATTCCTTCTCGACCTTATTCCCGAGAGCACGTTCGTACTGTTCGACGAATTCCTTCAACGATGTCTTCGAATGCACATATTCACCAAAGAACGCGTTCATACTCTCGATTCTCTATGTTGTAAACATTCCTGCCTAAAAAGTTATTTTCAAAAAACAAGGCACCCAACGCCCTCTATTCTCATATAATCCTGACAACCAATTATTTTGCTGCAAACTATAGGTGTCAATCATCGCCATCCAACCTTCATCAAATTCTTGTTCCGACTGTGAATCATACACTAATCCATGTATAGCCCCAAATATCAAACCCTTATCCACATGGTATCCAAACTTTTCCGGGGGCTTCTTCAAAATACGCTACAAACACCATCTATGCTTCGTCTTCGGGAAGACAATCTCAATTGCATTTTGCATGGCTCTATCCTAATCGGTAATTATGGCCTGCGTAGTTTCACCATACATACACTGAAGCCATGTTCTAAACAACCATACGAAAGTCTCAGTGTCCTCATTCGACAACAACCCACTACCAAGTAATGTTGACTATTCGTGATGATTGATGCCAGCAAAGGGGGCGAATGGCATGTCATACTTATTAGTAAGATAGGTGGTATCAAAAGTAACCACATCACAAAACTCCTTGTACGCTGGCCTACACCGATTATTTGCCCAGAATACATTTCTTAGTCGCGAATCATCGTCCAAATCCATACTGAAATAAAATCTCGAACATTGAGCTTGCATTCTTGAAAAGTATGATTGTATTGTTGCAGCATCGTCCTCTCCAAGTCGTAATCACCTAACTCGTTCGACATAGTTCCGACAATTTTTTTCAATGCAAGTCATGTTCTCATATCCACCAGCTTCTACAACTGCGGAATTGTAACTCTTATGCAATGGAATCCCTGCTAAATCATTCATTTCAAACTTTCTTTTCACATGTGCAGTAAAAGTTCGGTTGCATCGATATAACCTGGACTTAGATGGACTTGTCTTATGATTGTGCTCTAGGGGACCGCATTAATTCTCCAATTTCCCAGGATATCTTAAGATGCGGATATCCTTGTTTTACAACCCATCTTAACTGTTGGTTGAGGCTTCAGTGAACTGCTAGTATTACCATTTAATCGTCCTTCACGACTACATGTTAACGTTAGGTATCTCAATGCTCCATCCTCCCCCTTTTTCGAATTCCTTTTTTTAACGGGAGAACCAACGGCATAAGCATATTTTTTGCAGAAGTTATACATATCTTCTTCATGCTTAAATAGCATACCCACCTCATGCACTTGTAACCCATCCCTCCTGATGTTTCGTCTTTGACTACATTCACAAACTTCGAATATTCTCAGTATCGGATTCCATCAAAACATCAACAGGCTCATCTTCTACGTCTTCCATACTTTATTTTACCGCAAAAATAAATAGGATCATTATAGCAGTCTTTGACATGAACCATAAAAATTTGAAGGACAAATCTCAATTCGGCTCTCTATCTGTCGTCTACAATTTCTTTACTTAATATATGGCTCAAGCAAATTGATTCTAAACCATTCAGCAAAATCAAGAAAAACACAATGACGCAAATAAAGGCAAACCATTGGAAAAACATGCATTGATCTTCACAAAACCCTTAAAAAAAAAAAATACAGAGTACTATGTTTGTTATTATCCAAATAAAATGAAACAAAACCCTTCAAAAAAATTAATATTGTTATTTGTTGGGAGGGGAATGAACAAATAATAGAGTAGCTCCCAAATCTAGCTTCGGAACAAACCCCATGATTCTCGACGCAAGGCAGCTGCAAAAATGGACAAACAACTATTTCTCACCAACATAACAGGACCAATCCCAGCAAAACTTGGAAAACTCTCAAAGCTCCAGACTCTTGATCTTTCTGATAACTTCTTTCATGGAAGTATTCTTTCTTCACTATGGCGAAATTTAAACTACTAAAAGGACTTAACAACTCCTTTTCGTAAAGTGAACTCAGTAACATGTCATCATCATTCGGCTAAGAATTGATAATGTTTGAAGGGGAATTGGAATCGATAGTTACATAATTGAGAAAAGGTGAACCACTTGACAGGAAATTTGAGGAATAGAGTGACCCGACAAAATTATAGTCGCTGGAGATTTCTCTTTGCATTTTTTATTATATAGAATCCTATTTCCTACCCAATAAAACATAATCAAATTTTCGCTTCAATTCAATGAATATCAGATTCAATTGAATTACAGTTAGAATATAAAATCATTGACTATAATAAACGTAAAGAATACATAAATGAAATGATTGATTACATTTTTCTTTTGGAAAAACACGAAAATTATACCCACAACCCCAACACACGTAGATATCATTCAAGAAAATATTCCATTCAACTGATATATAATTTAATGGAATAAAGAAACTATTTTATTCAATTCAGGTAAATCATTTAATGGAGTAATTGAAGAAACAATGGATTGAACATGATGTATGCAAACATATACGCACGAATGCATCCAACCAATAGAATACAAACCAAAATCACAAAAGCTTTATTCATGTTTCTTGATTAATGAACAAGAATCAAGTCTCGAATTTCTCCTAAAACCATGACCAATCATGAGACTGAAAAAAGAAAAAGCATTCGCAAATATGTTCACACTCATACTGTGCGTTTGAGTTTAAACTACTAAAAGGACTTAACAACTCCTTACCGGTGAAGATGCTCTAGTCAACGATGGGTGCTCCGGTTAGCGATGGGTGCGGTGGTGGGAGGGACGGAGGGTTTGCTACTTATGTTTCCTGCTTTTGCTTTCTCGTACTGTGGGAGCCAAGATGATCGGAGATGGAAGGATTACCGGTGAAGATGCTCTGGTCAACGATGGGTGCTCCGGTCGGCGATGGGTTCGGTGGCGGGAGGGAGGGAGGGTTCGCGAGTTTCCCGCTTTTGCTTCCTCGTACTGTGGTCGTCCCCCTTTTGTTTAGTTTCTTAAGTTTTGTTTTGTTTTTTTTTTTTTTTTTTTTTTTTTTTTTTTTTTTTTTTTTTTTTTTTTGGTTTTTTTTTTTTTAAATGTGCAATAAGTGCATCATCAGCGAAAATTCAAATCCCTGTTTTTATCCTTGTTTTCATCCCTGGCTTATTAGCAATATTCTATGTCATAAACCTAAAAAATATTGTCTCAGAAGTAACTTCTGCAGACAACCAACCATGAGAGTTTAGAGTTTTATGCTTGAGATGGGATAGAACGTGAAATAGTACGGCCCGTAAATGAGCAAATTGAGACAAATAATTAACTGCCCTAGTTATACACAAAGTTAATAGGCATTTGTGCTAGGACTTTTCTATATTTGATAGGATTCCACTCGAAGCAAAAAGAGAAAAATGAACTTGTAATTGATTTTTGAATTACTGTAGAGAATTACAAGAATAGGGAAGTAAAATACACTCTTCTACTCAACTTTTGCCTGCCTACTTGGATTCCATCACTCTTATTTATAGTCATTTTCTAACTAATTTCCTCCCTCCACTTGCCCTTGTAACAGAATCCTGTTGCTGCCACTCTTTCTCAAGCCTTCTGGACTCTTCGAGAATTGGAGGCTTATCAATACCTATTAAAATCTTGAATTAGAAAACCATCCATAAAAGGAGAAGAACATAGACAATGGAATTGGAATAAATTCTATGAAGATATTTCTAGTATAAAGCTAGAGAGAATAAAAGAAAATCAATATACTAAAATCATATTCATGATTGGAGGATATCCAATGAATTGCAAGGTATACAAGGTCTTGTATTTATAGACACGAATGTGGGTGGCTAACTAACTACAATAACTAACAAACTAACTAGTAACTAACCAATCAACAAACTAACTAATTTTTGAATTTGCTGGAATCTCCTGGAACGTATATTCTAATACNNNNAGACAGAATATGGAGATCAACAATAGTCCATCTTGAAAATTAAAGTGTGAATCATGGATGCAAGTGCACTTAAGAAGCCTTCTTCAGCTTCTTTAACTTCTTTGTCATTTTCCCAGATTCAGCGTCTGAGAGAATTTTCTGCGGCAATATAGGGGTTGAATATGCTTCCTGTAGCCTAGATTTTGTGAGGACTCGATAAGTGACCAATGCAAGTGCACCATAGTAACTGGTTTTCACATTAGACTCCAACTCAAATGAATGGGAAACAAGGGAACTAGCGTCAAGTCTTTCCCATGACTTAGATGTGTTGCCAATTATAGAATCAAATACATCTTGAGCCCAACTATCATCAGCAAGAGTTACATCATATGCAGTGGCGGATCCACGGTTGTAAACGTCAATGGAGACGGAGATCTATTCGATGTCAGAATTGATCTTTTTGAGAGCGAATCTTTTGTGCGCCACTATAAATGGAGACTCGGATGCATTTGCAAATGGTGAAGAAATGAAAATGAGAGCTAGAACAACAGAAAGTGTTGATGCTTTGAGAACTGGAGTAGCTGCAATGAAAGCCATGCAGAAGGCGACTAATATTGTGATGTGGACAAAACAATGAGTAGACCGAAAATGTGGAACGGATTCAAGAAGCACTGTCAGCACCAATTGGTGCAGCGGCTTATTTTGATGAAGATGAATTAGAGGCAGAACTTGAAGAGTTGGAAGGAGTTGAGTTGGAGGAACATATCCTGCAACCTGCTACAACCACCCTTGTTGCTCCAATTCAAGTGCCTGCTGGAAGGCCACCTGTATGTCCAACTGCTCGCAAGAATCCAGAAGAGGAAGATGAGCTTGCATGTTGTTGGTATTGAAAGCAATACTTGAGGTCATTCCCAATGGCAGACAAACTGGCAGATGATCTGAAGCTAAAGTTATCTTCAGATTTGGTCTGCTCCATTTCAGAAATAAATCTAAGAGCAAATTAATAGAAGAGACGGAAACAAATTGTGTAGAAGAAGATCTACTCTAATACCATGTTAAAATCTTGAATTAGAAACCATGACTTAAAATCCATAAAAAGAGAATAACATAGACAATGGAATCGGAATAAATTCCATGAAAATATCTCTAGTATAAAGCTAGAGAGAATAAAAGAAAATCAATATGCTAAAATCATATTGATGATTGGAGGATATCCAGTGAATCGCAAGGTGTACGAAGTCTTGTATTTATAGACAAATGGGGTGGCTAATTAACTAGAATAACTAACATCCAACTACTAACTAGTAACTAACCAATCAACAAACTAACTAATTTTTGAATCTGCTAGAACATATATTCTAACAATACCCCTGGTTTCCAAAATCACCTTGAAAATTAGGAGCATTTTTATTTCTACCACGGACTTGCCCCTATTGAAATTACTGTTGAGCTGCTCCGAGTTCTACTTTTGCAGCTGCCAATAAACATTGCTTGGTAGCAATAAACTGATCAGGAGCCCCCTCTCAGCGTTCGCCCCAGCCTCAACCGACCACCAGCAACTAGATTGGTATCATTACAAATTCCATAGGCAGTTGTCCATGCATTGTGAATTAGGCCTACTTCTCCTTAGGCTTGTTTTAATAAGTTCCCATCTACCAATTAGGCCATCTCCAAAATCAAGCTACAAGTTTTTCCACATGGGTTTTAGATCTTATTGCCAGCCCATTGACACATTTCTCTTGAATCAACCCATTAACTGAGCTTTTCCCATCTCCTTTAACATTGGATCGACCTTCCAAATAATTCCAGATTCATCTCCCTCCATAACTCTGGTTACGGTTGTTACCTGAAAAACAAGAGCTGCCAAGCTTTTTCTGGGTTTCAGCCATTAATTACAGCATTCTGGCCATATTCTAGATAGGTGTTCCACTGGCCGCTGTAACCCCAACAGGTGCTGCAACTCTAATTTCAAGTATTCCATTTCTTTCTAATAGGAATTTACTTAATCATGTACAACGAAAAATAAAATAATTTCAATTTTCATCACGGATGTGCTTTATGTTCAGATTGAAACTGTGATAGGAATTTTGCCTTTGTTTAATTCTACAAACTCCTTTGCTTTCTTGAACGCGAACAATCATGATCTACAATCTACAGATGTCCAACGACGTGAATTATTATTTCGATCTAACTAAAATTAATAAAATATACATTTTAATTTATTGCCAATTCACATCAGTCGTCCCAAATTGACATCTAAGAATGTGTCATGGTAATACATGTAACAAAAAATATCACGTGTTATGATAAAATCAAACTTGTTTATTTATCATGAAACTATAATCATTTTCGTCAATATGATTCGATCAATTATGAGATATGGATATGTGTCATTTTCAATTATCGATCATATCTTTCATCCCACTATTAAGTCAATATAAGTCGAAAACTCTTTTCCGACTTATGAGTATAAAATGGCCAAGAATTTGATTATCAACTTAATGAAATGTAGGACATAATCTCTTACTATTTAAGAGCGATGAATTCTCTATTAATCATTCACAACCTTTATGTGATTCTTGACATACCCAAATGATGCCATATTAGCAATCCTTGGTAGAGTAACATCCAATATCACTAAATTATGACTGTCCTCATATCAGGTACTATGATAACCTCAAGTTAAAGGACCAATTCCACTACAGAATGTTAGAGATTAACCACTGATACTCATATAGTTATATATGTAGAATCTCCTTAGCGGGTTTCCAATGTTTTATCTATAACAAAACATCCACGTGTTCATTTAAGTGTCTCCACACTTTAACTTGTGAGATTAGCTATTTACTTCACAAGTAAGAAATACCATGCGTGATGATTTATCCGTAATAATGATATTTGTATCTTGTTATTACTTACGACCATGTATGATTTAAGATTGTCATATGTAATTTATGTCTCATAATCACAAATCCTTGTGATTAACAAATTACTAAGACTTAAATCTACAGACTCTATTGTTTAATATAATTTATTGGAATAGTAATTCAAATAATGAATCTTGTCATAATAAATGCATTAAATTATATATTAAAAGTGTTCATGTCCAAAATTGATTAGACCTAGAGCATACTTCTTACACTTTCTCCATCACTTCCGCTCGGCTTTCTATCTTCTCCTTGGCCGTGAGATTGAACATGCTTTGATACCAATTGGATAGGATTCCACTTGAAGTAAAAAGAGAAATAAGAACTTGTAATTGATTGTTGAAATTCTGCAGAGAATTGCAAGTCCAGTCATTCTCTAACTAATTTCCTCCCCCAACTTGCCCTTGTAACAGAATCATGTTGTTGTCACTCCTTCTCAACTCTTCCGGAGTCTTCCAGAATTGGAGCTTATCATATTCTTAGATGTTTATTCAAGATCATTTTCTCCAATCATCGATGCCAGTATGTTTGTCTTTATCTTCTAAATTCATGAGTAAGATGCCTACAGAACTGGAGAAAGGAACTTGTTGACCCATGAGTGAGTATATAAAACCACACAATCTCAACGAAGATTGTGCTTTTGGTTTTTTTTTGTGGTTGAATGTGTTTTTACTTGTTATGTGGGGCTTCAAGTTCTCTATTTGTACCCTATTATCTGTTTATTTTACACCTTAGATTCAGGCAGTCATTATTTCATAAGAAATTTTCTCCTCCTTTTCATTTGTCCTTTCCTGCATGCTGTGCTGTAAATATTCTATTTTTATTTGGTGCATCTCTATCCAAACCTCGACAAGTTTGGTTTCCTTAGATGATGATGT